TTGCGCAGCAGCGAACCAAATCTTAAATCTCCTTGTCAATGCCAGGCCAGTAGACATAACTGCGGCCGATTGCCTTCATTCTGTTCCTACCGGGGTGAGCAGAATGGAGCTGGCAGAGTACAGCTTGCCGGAGGCATGAAGGAACGACAACTCAGTCTGCATTCATGAAGCAGAAATCGACTATGGAAAAGGAGTCGCGGCGTTGATTCCGTTGTTTTAGTTCGCCAGAAATGGCAGTGTTTGGCCAGCACGTCTGAACTTAAGTGACGGCTTTCTGTAGGACAGGGTCTTGAGCAGTTGCGCGACGTAGTTCGGCGGTAGTAATGGGGAGTTCGGATAGCGTTCGAGAGTTTATGACGAGCCTCTTCCTCAACGGTAACGGCTGCGATCGCCGTGTCTTCTTATGTAGCATGGTTGGAAATGAGGCGAGAGAGTACGTCGGTTTGACCGAAATCGTGAGTACGACAGTAGCGGATTTCGAAGTCGTAACCAAGAAGAATTATTACCCAAAACTGAAGTCAGCTAGCTGAGGATGCGGAAATTCCGTTCTTTAACAGAACATTGTAAGTAGTGGCTAGTGCTCAGGCAATACCGTGCACCGCTGGCCATACAGCATCTTGTGGAACTTGGTAACGACAAACACGAAGGCCAGGGCTTCCTTGTCAATCTGACCGTAGTTCTTCTCCGCAGGCGCCAGGGTACGTGAGGAGTGCATGCCCGCTTTTTCGGAACCATTTGGGAAGTGATGGGAGAGAACTGCTCCGATCCTGTAGGCAGCGGCGTCTGCAGCGACCAAACTCGGCATGGTTAGGTAGTAATGGGTCAGCAGTAGATCAGAAGTCAGCATGGATTTCAGATGAACGAAGGCCTTTTCGCATGCGGGGTACCAGTGCCAAGACACCTTTTTTGCAATAGTAGTTTGAGCGGGGCCCGTACATCCAGTAGCGATGATAAGAAAGCCCTGTGGCAACTGATGACGCCAAGGAAGGACCGCAGTTGTGACACATCTTTGGGGAACGACATCTGTTGAATGGCTCAGACGTTTTCGGGGTCAGGATGACGGCCATGGGCATCGAAGGCAAAGCCGAGATACTTGAACGATCGAAGGAAGCATTGACATTTATCAGCCCTCAGGCAATAAGCCATACTCCTGTATCTGTTCCAAGAAGGACCAGATCTTCTCGCAGTTCTTCTGGGGTGCGATCAATAATAAGGAGATCATCCAAGTACGCGGCCGTAATTGGAATGCCAGAGATCGTGAAGTCCATCGTCTGATGGAAAATTGGTGGGGCGGCCTTGACACCAAACGGCAGTCTGGTGTACTGGAGGAGACCGCGGTGTGTGTTGATCGTCAGAAACGGTTGCGACTCAGGAGCAACTTCGATCTGTAGGTAGTAATCGCCCAGGTCGATCTTGGCGAAGCACCTGCAACCAATGAAAATCGCAAACAGGTCGGTTGGAGATGGCAGTAGGCAACCGTTTGGCTTCAGTGCAGCATTTAGACCAGTGGAGAAATCGGCACAGATACGGAGGGATCCATTTGGTTTCTTGAGCACAACGATCGAGGCTGTCCAGGAAGAGTAGGACACCGGTACCAGGACACCCATATCTTCCAATCGTTTGAGTTCATTATCGACCACTGGTAAGGCTGCGTAAGGGACTGGTCTTTTTAGACGGAATACCGGTTGAGCTCCGGGAGCGAGCTGTAACACGGCGCGAATGCGTGTACAGCTGCCAAGACCGTACTGGAACAGTTGAGCGAAGAGTCTGACGACATCGTTGGTTTGGTCAATTGGTAATACTGGAGATTGTATGGCATTGCAAATGACCGAAGTGGTAGATCGGCCAAGCCAAGGTGATCGAGCCAATCGTGGCCAAGCAGGTTGAGCTTCGCCTTTGTGCGGTAGCAAACCCCTTCGAATGTGACGCCTCGAAAGGAGCCAAAGTACTGCAGCTGCCCAGTTCGCTGTGCGTGGCCACTACAGGCTCTGGTGGCAGAGTGAAGGGTTGAGCCGAGTGGTGGTTTGCCAATGGACCGCCAGTTTCTCGGAGATGATCGTGATGTCCGCAGCAGTGTCTAACTGCAATCGAACAGGCTGCCCATTGGTCAGGAAGTCGACGAAGTTCCTACGGTCAGCGTTGACTTGGAAGGTGGCGAGCGAGCTCATGGAGCTGCCAATCGGGTCAGTGTTGGGTTTACGTTTGAATCGTGACCTATTGGTTTGACTGCAGGTGGAGGCCAGGCCAGGTTTGGCCCCCTTGGATTGCGTGGAGCTGTGAGTGCAGGTCAGGCCAGGTTTGACCCCTTGTACGTCATAGGGTTGCAGTAGCCATCACTGTGCCGTACCCTGCCACAACTCTGGTATCGGTGCTGGCGGAAGTTGCAGTCTCGGTGGAAGTGTCAGGCAGCTCAGAATCGGCACGGATAGGGCGAGGACTTCGTTGTGTCGGCTTGTGTAGGCCTCCCAGAAGATTACGGCATTGATGTTGAGACTGCCTGGACCAGACCAGGTGCGGGAGAATTCTGAATCATCGCGGTGTCATGTTTCAGATTGATCAGCATTTGACACTCATTGATTAAGTGCTGGAGTGTGATCGTGTTGTCCTGCTGCAACTTGGACAGAAGGCGCTTTCGGATGTCGGCCTCGTGGCAGGATTGGAGACCAGAAATGAAAAGCAGGCACTTGAACTGGTCCTCTGTGAGTGAGCCAAGTTGGAAGCGTTCACATTCCCGATTGATGATGCCCGCGTACGTAGTGAAATCATCAGCATCGCTCTTGGCCAGCTGTAGACATTGGCACCGGGTGTTGAACAGTGAAGACTGTTTACCAAAGATCTAAGACAACGTAAGGACGCGGGGGTTCTTGGGCAAGATGAAGTTGATCTACCATTGGTGCTCGACCGTGCCCAGTTTGCACAGAAGCAGCCGGACCTACCAAGCGTCAACCTTGCAAGCCAGGTCAAAGGTGAATAGGTTCTCATACCGTTTATAGCAAGAATAAAAATTGACATGAGCGCCGGAATCGTACAGGAAGCCCAAGATACTGTCAGCGCCATTGTCAACCGATTGAGTGTGTCCAGCGGAACCTGACTGAATGGGAAAACTGGAAAGTTTTTCTGTTAAGGTGGACATAAACTTCATCTGTTGTTGAAACAGCGACTTAAAATTATTGTACACAATCTCCATGGTACAAGGCAACACATTGCCACTTTGTTATAACTGCCTTTTCGTAATGCCATGCCCTGACGACCTGGTACCATCTCTCCTAGTCGGCCGAACGAATGTGGCTTGTTACTATTTCACACACGACAAAGCAACCAACAAAATTCGAAGTTGTACGACCCGTGAGACTTAGGCGCAACACGGTTACTACGCGCGAGTTGAACGGGCTCCTAGACCGAACGCCATTCATACGCAGCTACCCAAAGTCCAGAGAATAAGACAAAAAGACAGGCCTTTCGCGTAGGCACATTTACCGGCCAGGCTCAAGGCGATTACAGCGTAGTCCGGCGTTTATTTTATACCACCATGGTGCCAGAGATTTGCGTGAGCAAGCCCTGGAAGCAACTGCATTGGGGTACTATGCAAATATGCCAAGGCAACATGTTGAAAACTGAATGTTGGTAGATGCGGAGGCTGGACTGGAAAAATGAACATTTCTTAGGTAAAAAGAGGCGGAATATTTTATGATTGCGAAGGTTGGCGGAAAACAGGAGCGTTTTCTGAGGCACAAAAGCCGATCGAAACGTGCATCTCTCACGAGTTGGAAGGCTGATGGAAACATGTTCACTTGTCTGAATTGAGTTTCACTGCCTTCCGTGGTTTAAGCATATGATTATTATGGGGACCTTGGGTCCCCATTACCCTTATTATGTCAACGTTTTTCTTATGAATCACACTGGCAATATGTTTATCATTGAAACGCAAGACTTATGGTAGCATAGCTACTTGATTTAACTGGCCCTCAGTGATCGCATATCCAATGTGTGTGGTATTCTACGCCTGAAGTGTGTATCTCTCGTGTGGTTTATTATTCTCTAGCATAGACGATTGCTAACTAAAAGTATAATGGGTTTCAAACGGCCTAATCGTGTCTTCTGTACATCAAATACTGGTTTGCAGTAGCAATGTGTGACTGAGTGCTTTATGGACTATTAAGGCTGCAACGTAACGGTCCAACTGTTGAGCACCACGTCAACGTCCAAAAAGCAGTTACTGCCGATCATGAGTTGTGAAACAGGTTATGTACCATGTTGGATTCCTACTCCCATCTCCTCTCTAAGCAGGTGGGCTACACCCTAATAAAGGCCTTCATAGTGCGTGTTGTACCTCACTGACCCTTCTTAAATGTATGTGCCCAACTCTACCCACAAACATATTTCCTTGTTTAAGGGAATTCATTCCGTAGGTGACAAAAAGTCAAAGGAGACTTTTAGTTATTTTTGATATATTTTTCCTTCATTCTAATCGCTGCAATCCGGGATTATTTTTGTAAGACTGCTAGATGGTCGTTTAAAGCAACACATTGAAACGGGTAGTCTGGATAGTATTTTGAACATGGGTGACAACATGCCTGCACGCTATCTCCTATTCAAAACAGTCGTAAGCCTCGTGCTGCATAGGATGACGAAATTGACCCATGAATAGCATTTGATAAAGTTACCTAGATACTGTCAACTGAGGATGAAGAGGCAATGAAAATAATCCCATCCAATTCAGGCTATTGCGTCTGGCATAGATTTAATGCCAATCCATCCTCAACCTTAGTATTCAAGCGATGGACTTTACAGCATGTCAATTATTCTTTCAACCGAACGATCTAAATTGTACCTAGGTTATTGAGAGGCTCTCAGGTACAACAAAACAGTGCAGTTCCATGTGATGTGGATTTGTCCCTTGAGGAATACAATAGCCTCACTTCAAGTAAACCGCTTGATATATTACTTAACTCTTGGATGTGGTCAAATGAAGTATGCATTCTTGCCGAAATCCCCCACAGAATACTCTGGAGTTGTACAACGGCGCTAATTTTAACACAACCCACCTCATCGCGAAGGTGACTTCGGAGACGCTGAACAATCACAGTTCGCCAGTAAATGAACGTTACACATTCCTCACCTCACCGGTCCATGATGTGCTCTCGGTGCATCTGTTCGCAAGTCCAGCGAGCAAACGTCACGGATTTGTCGCTGAGGTGGTCACCTTACCACTGTCCCCGGGACGAATGTATTCAGAAACGAGTGAGTCTGGTAGCCGAAAATGCTCCATTGCTTATCATATGAACCCAAGAATTATTCTCCTGATTGTCTGTGTATTCACTCATTGAATCGGCAGGATAACTTAACTAGAATGTGAAGCACGCGGACACATCTACGTCTTGATATGCAACCTTCTCCCTGACTACGCCTATTGTGGTCTGCAGCGGTACGTTGCGTACCAAAGAAGATGTTTCAGAAGAGTTATTCATAGCTCTTTCATCCAGAGGTCACTCGTTTCCTAGGCGTAATCTCACCGACTAATGTCTCACAGCCGGTGATGTTATCTAGAAACCTGTACTAATGTGCAATACGCTGAGTTTGATCTGATATTACCGGTAGCTGTGAAGTTCCACGTTTCCGCCTCCATTTCGCCAACACGGCTAATAACAACGATTTCATACGTGCAAATTTTGCATACCCGGCTAGAACCAAATGGTTTCTCAATTCCGTTTCCCCTACGTTGGCTTTGTAAGGACCGAAGTTCCGCAATCAGAGAACGATGCATTTGTCTTGTTTTAATACTCCAACTAATTAACTATTTCCGCTTTTCTAGTAGTAGATAAAACAGTGAGGAGTAATATCAGGCCCTAACATTTATAGTCGATTCTAATAGCTCTTTTTGTAGACATACAAATAGGATATATAGGGAAACGCATGCGTTAGTGCCAACGTGAGACGTACTGGAAAAGTGTTGATAAATTATTGTAATACCCAACTGGGCATGAAAATTTCTGTCTTGAAAGACGCACTCTGTAAACACTCTTTTGTGGTAGTCTTGTAAATAAGGATTGCCAATTTCGACTTAACTCCCCCAATCAGACAGTGCAGTTCATTTGGGTTAGCAATCGTTGCACCAGTTCTCTGGTTCATTAGGCTTCCGCACTTTCCCCACCCAGACACAAGAAAATGGGTTAACTGATTGATCCATCAACCAGACGTCTTCAGTAACGGAAATGCGAACAGCCAACTACCGTCGACAAACAGACTATCAATGGAAGGCTGACTTTCGCTAACCGTCAGTATAACTGGTTCGGGATGGTTTAAGTCGATTAATATCCCATCCATGCAGCTCTGCTTGTTGGTTGTTGAATTTTCATCCCTTCTAGCGTATACCTGACTTTGTTAACGAGTAACGCTGTCCATGGAACATGGTCCGGACCTATATTCAACCGCTCCCGGTGGTATTATTCACTGAAGTCCTGTAGTGATCCGAGGGCGTGCCATGTTCGATCAACTAGACTGTGCCAGGTAGATAGTTGTTGTTCGTATAGGACCAATACCAGTGTGGTTGTTGGTCGGTTGTTACCTTTTCAGCGTGAAATGGAAACAACTCCGACTGGTCTAACAAAGACTAGGCCACTTCGTCTTAGCGATTTCCAAGTGATCCAGCTTGTCCACAAACCAATATTATAGGCGCAGTTACTGAGAATTTTGATACCATCTAGTAGTAATAGACTCTGCTCATTTTTGACGCAATTCAACCATGTGGGTTGGCTTGGAAGATGAAGTAAAGAAGCCAGTGAACGTCATCTGACAGATATCAACTAACTTTATGACAATAGCCAGTTGTTTGACGCAGTGCACTCCTTTCCACCGATGAGAGGGCGTGGCGGCACAAATTGTAACTCAGCTGCAGTTGTATATTTGGCTTTGTGTTGGCACAAGCTTTTTATCACTTCTGGTACTCTTTGTCAATTTTAACCGTACCCTAATCGAACATTGTAGAGAAACCCACTAGACTGACATCTGCATCTTGATGGCTCCACCCAGGAGACTCATGTTGGGTGCTGAGTCTACGAGTGAGTGTCCTTATCATGAAAGTGCTTAGCGTCCAATAACTCCTGCTGCACCCCGTGGCAGCCATTTTCTTTCATGACACACTACTGGTTGACTAGCAAGTACAGTTACCACACAAACCATACGCGGATAAGGGATACGATTGCGGCTCTAAACGGGAGCGTATTGCACCGACATTCTCTGGGCTTTTATGATGACACTAGCCTTCTGCAAAGCGGATTCCCCATCCATGTTTTTGTGTGGCACGTTGAGGAGCTGTCGACCGGGTGCGAATTAATCATGGTTCCATCTAGCCCACCTCCCATTCCCTCGAATTTAAATTGTGTGTTGTGCTAGTGGTTAGGAGCACTGGAAATTCGTAACAGTATATGGGAATGTTGTGGATCTTAACTGCAACAACCAACTCGGTCGCTTGGTACAGCTGCGCGCGCGGCACCTGTGCTTGAACAGGGATCATACCCACCGACGGTGACTCCAAAGTCGAGCTCACGCCTCTATGCAGCAGCGTATCACAGTAATCAGCAACAAAACAGTTGTAATAGCACCTCAAATATAATGAGCGCAGCATAATTATTTGTAGACCATATCGTGGCCTATTTATTGGAAAAGTGGTTAGACCAATACAGTACATCCCGAGTTACCTATTTCTGACTGTGTCTGAACCCAGAATACTTGTCTGCCTCTATATTCCCGCCTGCGAATTGGGTTAGTATGAGTGCAACCCCAATCGGTTCGAGTGGCCCAGTATACTCCACTGGGGAACGTAATTCGGTCATCCTATTTATTTACACATTCACGGTGTCAACAACACGATTCGGTTTTTGTTGTCTGCCTTCCAACATTGAACCTTTGAGGTTGAATAAAACGTAACACATGGTTTGCGCGACATGCACTAGCAGAGCTTCGAAAAGTAATGGACGCAACTATTTCGTAGTATCATGGTCTTATGGTTCGTTTTTGAAAAATAATACTAATAGTGAATATGATAAAAGTAATGTTAGATATTTTCGCGCTAAGATGTGGTGAATGTGAATGAATGCAATGTAGTGAGGTAGTTACCACTATGCTTCTTTCTTGTTCTTTCACAGTTCTACTTACAGGTAGAGTCTCATGTAGACAACCACCAGAAAAACACCCTTCCGCTGTTTAACCTGCCATGCCAGCGACCTGTACTGGTCTTTCGGTATCAATGGAAAATGGTCGAAGACTGTGATCTTGTCCTCTCTAAACAGCACCAACTTGGACATGCTGATTGTCGTACTTTTCAACTCCAGTAGATTTTGGACAATTTACGGGCCGGTTAAACCTTTCCTAACGTTCAAGTCAATAGACTTGCCGGCAGAGCAGGCGCAAACTTCCACAGTAGCTGATTCACTTGCCGAAGTCCTTGTGAGCCGGGAAAGCACATTTGCGTATGCTTATCCTGGAAGTTGAACTCTCAGTACTCCAAAGTGTCACGATCCGAAAACCTACACCCTATTGCAGCAACTGACCCGTAGGAAGTACCTGCAGTCGCACTGTTTATTTTAATAGGACAAGATCATTCGCAGATACGTGGGGTTACACTTGGGTTCCTAGTTAGTGAGGGTTTCTACAAGCTCTTCGACCATGTCTTTCTTGCAACCCCAGCAGGTGATGGAGGGAATAAGCATGACTGACGAGCCTCACTAGGGCGAAGCGATCGTCTGGTGCTTTTCCGGATTGGGATTAGACTACGGGTGTCCAAACTTTTCGCAAGAAGGGCCACATTATGTAAAGTAAAATATGTGAATCCATATTCAGTCTGACATTAAGATAATAACCAAAAATGACATGTTATAAATATTTGTTGCAAGCTCTTATTGTGATGGGTAAAACTGCAATCTTGATTACAGTAAACTGGTCAGATCAGCGTCAATGAAACCACTTTTGATACGCAAGATATCACATAGGTGAGAATCACTTGGTCTCGTCCTCACACGGTTCTAGTCAAAATTCAAAACTGTGAATGTCTGCTCACAAGTATGTTGAGCCGAACAATCTAAGCATTTGCTTAGCAAATATCCAAAGCTCTTGAAATCTGTCTTTATCCAGCTGGTAGTAAAACTTGTTGAGAGAGATCTGTTGGTGCCGAGTGCACATTCAACATCACTTTGCAACTCTTTGAGCCCCAGTTGTAGGTAGCCTGGATGCTTGTCAGGGTCGACAGAGAAAAGCGAAGAAAAAAGCCCGATCTCCTTTTCAATGGCTGCAGAGTCCTCAAAGCGGCTCCGAAACGCATCAGTCATGGACAAAATATCTGCGACGGATTTCTGCATCTGTGCATTGATGTTGCTTTCTGGAAAACTTGTCATGATTTCCTTTAGTAATGACAAATGTGTGCTATTAGGCAGTTTCCTTGGAAAAGTTGCAGCTTATTCTTAAACGCTTTGGTGTGCGAATACAACCGGTTTACCCCTGCATTTTGGCCCAGAATGCTCTTTTTCAACATGTTTAACTGTCGTGTAACATCAACCAAAAAATCCAAAATCAGCCAGCCAAGCGGGTTCAGATAGTTCTGGCATCGATTGTCCCTTATTTTCCATGAATGGTTCAATTTCTTTTCTAAGAGAGTAGAAGTGATGAACTGTAGTCTCTCGGCTGAGCCTTCTTACATCATTTTGATACACAGCTTCTCCTTTTTCACCATGGAGGTTGAGCAGAAACTGGTGAAACTGACAGTGCAAGTTGGCTTTTCAGCGAAGATATTTGATAGCTTGTATCATTGGCTTCATAACATGATCACATCTAAGAAGGTTGGCACAAGTGTTTTCTTGGCGAATGATGCAGTAGAGTTTAATGGCTTTGCCCCCTCTTCGCTGACTTTGTTACAGACAAGTGTTGCTAATCCACTGTGCTCGCCAATCCTGCCTGGGTCACCGTCAGTAATAATTTCAGATGTTTCCATGATATTTTAATGTTATATAATACAGAAGAAACAGAGACAAGTAAATCTGTTCCTAAGTTGGACTTGGAGAATCCGCTGTGTGGTTGGGTTGCTATAAGCAACCTCTATTGAGACCTCGCTTCACTTGAGGTGGACCTCGGTCATTCCGATCACAAGGACCGTAGGTAAAATGGAAACATTATGGTGTTGCTCATCTAAATCTATTCCTCCTGTTTGGTCCCTAGGAGTATGAAGGTCAAGTAATTCCTCACTCACACACATGTTATAATTAACTTCTTTCCAAAAAATGCGAACCTGAGCAGTGTCAGATGCATCAGTGCTTTCATCACAGGCCATGGAAAAAGTCGAATTGTGCTCCTTCTGCTTCTACTAGTTTCTCAATATCAGAGGAGATGTCTTCAGTTTTGCGAACCACAGCGTTGCCTGCTAGGCAAACATAGACAAAGTGTTTTGCTTTCCCAGGATAGATATTTGCTATAATTTTCATCGTACATCTTTTGACTAGTTCACCTTCAGTAAATGATTTGCAGTGTTTCGTTATTAGTTTTCCCACCTCATTAATTGCCTTTGCCGTATTTTCATTCGACTGGCCGATTCTTACAAACAACCTTTGTTATGAGGCTATTCCAGTTTCCAGTTGCGTCACTTTCTCAACCCGTTCATTTTTAGTCAACTCGACATATTTAGCATGCTTCGTTTGGTATTGCCTCTTGATGGTGAATTCGTGGAAAACAGCCCCAGTCTCCAACCAAATCACACACACACACACACACACACTTGTTCATTAGTGCAGTGAAAAATACTCCAGTTTCCACTTTTCCTGGTAGCGGTGAACTTCGTCAGTAACTTTTCTTTTTTTAAGCGTATTATCCAAAAGCATCTAAATAAAATGTTAACGAATCCCACTATTTTAATCTTTTCAGTTTAGTTAAAACCTCTCTATCATGTGTTGCTGTGGAATTAAATAATCAGAAAGGTAAAACTGTTGTGTCTAAGGAAGTACCTTAAAGTAAATTATAGCACAAAAATACTTAGACTGATGTAACCTGTACAACAAAAGTCCCGTTCTCAGAACGTGCTAGCTTCAGCTACTCATAAAAGGTTACTGAACAACTTGTTAATTCATTAATTTAATTAACATCCCTAAGGTACAAACAATAGATTCTGTTAGTTGGTTAAAATAAACAATCCATCGTTGCTTCATGCCAGCATCTGACACCATTATATTTTGTACTCTTAATATCCTTAAATTTTGTATTCTATGTAATGTCGTCTGTACATGATGAGGCCGCAGGCCACTTGTAGTGTTAACGCGGGCCGCATTTGGCCCACGGGCCGGACTTCGGATATGCCTAGATTAGACGAATCTGGCTTGTGAGCAGCTGGGAGGAACCAGTAAAATATCATGAAGAATCCTCCTACTCATCAGTAATCTCGTTTAAGAAAGTGTAAATTTTGGTGCGTTACGGCACCCAATGTGGCAGCTGGTCAACTGCTGCCTGGCTGTAATCACGCTGTGCTTTTTCTGAGAAGACTCACACCTTGGCTACTAGTTTGTGCTTAGTCCCCTATTCACCTACGTTGGTGGAAAGGATAAACAGAAATCCTGGGGTGGAAAAAACGTGACAGTCCTCGGGTGGACGAGTGACTGGCCCCGACGAAGAGACCGTGGGCAAAGAATCAACCAGCGCTGTTTACACGCAGGTACAATTAGGTTACGCGCATGCCAACCCACTGACTCCCGCGACGTGCGTCGTTTGCGCGCCCGGGGTCTGGATGGAAGAAGAGGAGGGGTAACTAAGCTATGGCTTGGTCAAGAGGAATAAAATCCCTCACCTCGAAGTTGGCGTCGGTTGGCGTGTTCCGGCTGCCTGGCTAGGGTCCGAAGGACGACGAACATCCTCATCATGATTATACACGTTAGCTAGATGTGGGAAACAGCTCAGCTACTGTGTCGCAATACCTAAAAGAAAAAGGGAATAAAATGTAACAGGTGTGACAGGACGACGAACACGTTTGGTTGAATATACTAATTGACATCACAAGGAGACAACCTCAGTGTCGTTTGTGTTGTGAGTTTCTTTGTCCCTTCCCATCCAAGTTATATTTCCCTCCAACCTCGATCTCCTCCTGACGCATAATAGGTTAATAAGTAGTCTGTCGCTTGTATTTTTAGCATTCTATAATTTTCCGCACCTTACTTTTTTCGTTTGTCTTATCTTTATGTGATGTGGTGTTTCTCGCCTTCAGTTTGTGTATACTGATGATGATTATGATAACAATTAGGTTACGCACTAAACGCTTGACCATGAGGCACCATCCACTCCGACACCCCAAGTACCACATTCTGCGCATGCCTGCTTTGAAGGCTGGACGGAACCAGTTTTGTGTGTTCACATACATTCCATTTGTAGTCTCCCGTCACCGTGGATACTGCACTCTTTTACCTGCACCTTCTCCACGTGCTTTGCTATAGGGCACGTATATCGTTTTATTTGTCAGATACCATTGCTCAATCCTTCAGGTGACTGTGACCGTTCCAAGGCAGGCAGATCGCACAGACGAACAGGAAACTGTTCACCGCTCGCAAGTTTAAGCTTACAATGAGGAAGGAAAAAGCACTTGTGGTTTGCGCATCACATGTGAACTCATCACCTAGCTTCCCGTTTGAATAGCGGCTCCTTCCTCAATAAGGCTAGTCACTGCTTGCTACGAGCATGCGGTAGCCATCCATTCCTTCATTCCTTTCCATCTTCATGTCTTTGAACTCCCAATCACGTAGTTTAGCCACTGAACCATGTGTATGAGGGAGCCCTTAGTGACCAACTTATTGACTGTAACAGTGCAATTCGCTAGCTAGCACCATGTACCTTACTAAGATGCAAGCACCCGGTTGGACTACAGACAACGATTTCATCGCTGAGCAGCAATCCTATGATATCCTATGCGACGTAACGCGACTACTGCTTTTAAGCAGAGTAGTAAAATATTTTATGAATTTTCATTGCGCGCTCCATAACCGGTATTAGCAGGCTGGTGGCACATGATTGGATCACCGTTGTTGCGACTAATTACTGCTTGTAACTAACCTGCAAAATATGCTTTCAACTGAACTTTTGTGCCAAGCTGAATGTCGGACCTGTCAGATGTTGGTGTGATAAGCCTGCACAAATTCCAAGGGGTGTTATCCCGGATGTTTTTTGGGTGAACGCCTTGGCTGTCGCATGAAAGCCACCGTGGGTGTCACGATATCATCAGTTGTATTTACCATGTTTTTTAATCCGAATCCGACACTGCCGCGCGATCCGTAGACACTTTCGATTAAATAGTTATTCGCGCTTGAATTTTTTTCACTTCAGATAACGCATTACGCCATCGTGTAGACACATGCGAATTTCAGTCGAATCAGGGTGGAGGCATCCGAGTGCTCAGTGTGGGAGAAAACGGTCCAGATTTGTATATGTCCAACCTACGCCTAATTGACAACGGCGTCAGAATTCTCAATCTAACCGGACCTGCTGCTGTCTATTTACGTGTCACAAATTCTATCAACCTGGGAATCACGAACTGCCTCATTTTCCGACACGAAGGACACGCCATCCACGCATTATTGTACGCCAGTCAAGCTGCCAGGGGAACCACAGTCAACGTAACAAACAACGCAGTCGTTCGCAATCAGAATGGAGGAGTACTGTGGCTAGAGGGTAAGTAAGCGAATATAACAGATTCTTCGAGTTTCAATGAATGTGACTACACATTTACAGGAATTTTGTTTACATCGTTAAACAGCCACACTGAAGTGAACTGTTTGTGGACCAAGAAAGGCCGCGTGCGATGACACTACATGCACAATGTTAGCAATGAATCCATGATGCTTAAATGTCATTTAACTCTTGCCTATCTTCCGTTCAAAGGAAGGTTATGAGAGGTTGGTCTTACATGAAAGGGATTTCGACCACTGGATAGTCAGAGTTCCAGTAAAATACAGCATGCCGGTAATGCTCTATCTGTAAGCCATTCCAAAAGATTCGCGCGAATGCTGTTAAGTAGGGTAGTCGGTTGTGTTAAGCAATCGGACTAGTGAACAGTTTCGAAATATATGCGATCAGGTGCGCGAGTCCTGCTCTGAACTCTTTGTAAAAGTCTTTCTCTAAGTTCGGCTAGTGTGCTTGCTGTCGCAAGCACAGTAAAAGTGATAGACGCATAAGGTTGTAACTCAAAAGTCTGGCCGTGGCTTTACAGGTGATGTCACATGTTATATGCCTCTAAGTGAAACTTAGGTATTTCATGAACTGCATGAAAAGACGGTGTTGGGGGGGTTGACCCATTTGTCTACTAGCGGATGCTCAGGTCCAACGTTCGGCCTCATGTGACATGCGTTAGCCAGCCTTGTCAGTCCCGAGAGAACCAAGATCTCGCCGCATACGAGATTACACAACCAAGAACCACACAGTTCACTCCGTACCAACTTATACTGAGGAGGGTAAGATCGCGCAACGCATAGTACCCGCTCGAATAGAGCAAGCATATAATGAGCTGCCAGATCCTAAGGAACTTTAATCACGTTTACTGCTGTCTACGGTAACTTGGTCAAAGTACAAAATTTTAGGGCCACCAATTATGGTTGGCCATGTAATATGACACAACTTGAGTGTCAACGGAACTTTCCGTCTCTCCACAGGTACAGCCCCACAACGCCCACCGGTTGCTTTAGATCCCATATTATAAGCGTACAAAAAATAACTTGCCGTTACCCTAATCCACCTAAATTGTGATATAATGCATAAGTCCATAACGTGACGAAGAGTGTGCTCACCGTCATTCCCTCATTCAATACCGGTGGGCTTATTTGCCTAAACCCAAATGTTAACACTATCAGCCATCGATCAAAATACCTTTCTCCAGTGATTCCTCTTCCAGTTCTCATCCCTAGACACCAACGCACATACCCCATAATAAATTATTCTATGATCGTTTGCTTTTATGATCGCAAGAGTTCCACGTATTGAGAGTGACTGCGCTTCCATAGTAGATAACGGCTGATGAAAAAAGCGAAAGCGAACGCGAAATAAATACCGCTGCTAAAAGCAGAGTTTCACTCCCAGCTCAGGCTATCCTTAACTGATGATAGTTGCCCACATCCAGTACCAGATTTGCCTGTAAATGTGGCTTCCAAAGGCAAGTCAAAAGACGAATGCGCCCACAGCTAGACCATGGGTGGATTCCGCAACACAAACCACATATACAGCCACACACCACATATCCAGTGTAAACCCGAAGGAATAAGACCGGGAGGCATGCGGATGGGAACCACGTTTCATCAACGGAGCCGGCCCACACTCCTTCACAGGTAAACACAAGCGTGCTGTATTTGGGGAATCAAGCGCACAATGCGGTGGTTAGGATGTAGCCCGCCTCACACACAAACCATGTGCATAGAGCCACACATTGAGCCGAACACGGTCACGAGGACCGTACACCTCGTCCCCTCCAGCAAGGACTAACTGTCTCCTAGAACCCGTATAGACGAGGTGGTGGGTAATAGACAGGAAGACACCTTGTCAACATCCACATCAAGCGCAGCCACACCGGGATGTCAAGTAACAGCCAATCACTTACAATAACGATAACAAATAAAATAAATCGAATGAAGCATACGGATATGCCGACTTAACTCAATACTAAATAAGCACATTAAAGAAATAACTTATCAACATATCCGCAGTAAATTCAAGATGGCAGAACAAGAGATCAAAACAATGTAACAAATGTGAAGAAAATTAACGAACATAATCACTTCAAGCGATGTAAGTAAATACAAGAGTATTCAGATAGACAAAATATGAGGTAATAAAGTAACTAACAACAAAATATACCAAAACGATCACCAGAAATAAACTAACGCAGCACACAAGCACGCGGTTAGTAAATCGAAAGGATGTGTACCTACCAACGTTGCGCCGGATCTGCTTACCTTCTCAACAGCACCTGTTGTCGTTATGATGCTGGTCCCGAGTGGTCTCGCCCGTGACTCACTAAACCAGTCTGACTCAGGCACTGGCGACCACATGTGTTACAGCACCATGCGCTCGATGTCGATGGAGTATATTCCATCGGCGACTGTCGCTTCCGCACCTGCCGTTTCTTCTCTGCATACACGACGGTTTTCTCCTGCACCTCGACAACTGCCTTCGTGATCAGGTCGCGCCATGCACGCCGATCAACCGCCTTCGATTCCGAACCCCCCTGAAATCAACATTAGTACGTGATAGGCTCACCTTGATCATGTCCTGATAACGAAGCTTCGGTTTCTCCACATGCCGTTTCCCCACACTCAGCTGACCATATAACAGCTGCTTCGGTATCCGCGCCGAGTCCATACGGCACACATGACCGAGTCACCTCAGGTGTCTCAGCAAAAGTACATAGTCCACGGCATACATTCCACTTCAGCGAAACAATTCCATATCTGCAACTTTGTCGCACCAACCGATGCGCAGAATCCGTCGCAGACACTGTTGATGGAACCGCTAGAGATATCACACATCTCGCTGGTATATCGTCCGAGTTTCGCTGCCGTATCGAAGAACGGACAGCACCATGGATTTGTACAACATCAGCTTCATGCCAACAGTAAGCTGGTGGTTGTTCCACGCTCGGTACTCATGCTTTCCGAATGCCGCCGCGGCATTCGATACGCGGATACGAAGCTCACTGTGTATCTGCTGGTCAGTTGAAACCACAATCCTAAGGTCGCAGAAGCGAGAGGTGGTTTCCAATACTTCAGCACCAATGCAGATGCGCGACCCCATTGAAGGCTGCAGGTCCCGTGAAGGCCGAAAGAAACAGACGGTTTTGTTGTGTTGAAGATGAGCCCGAATTTACCCGCTGTCGAAGCCAGAGCACTAGTCATGTCCTGCAACTCATCCGCACTGTGTGCAAACCACGCACAGTCGTTAGCAAACAGCAACATACGGTCAGTCGTCTCTCAGACTAGGTTTCTCGCACCGAAACGACGGATGTACAGTAACTCACCGTCAATACGGTGCTCCACACGAACATCGTAAGCACAAGCGGCATCAAAAGCACACGATATCATTGCATAAAGAAAAATATTAAACTGAACAGGAAATAGGACACAGCCTTGCTTCACACCAGTGAATTGCAAAGTCATCCGAGGTCTATCCACTCAGCTCCACCCTCACTCGCATACCATTGTGCAGACATTCAATTAAACTTACAAACCTACTCGGATAACCAAACTTACCCAACACCAGCCACAATGCCTCGCGGATCACCGTATCAAATGCTTTGTTGAAACTAACAAACAGCGAGTACAACGGCCAGCATCGCTCTCTGCAGTTCTCCCGCAACTGACGAGCAGCAAACACCATCTCGATGGTGCTGCGACCCAAACGGAATCCACATTACTCTTCCGCCACGTTCGGTTCCACAACCTGATTGACGAGACGGTGAGCAGGATTCCGGCAATCACCTTGCCCACACAACTCAGCAGGTTGTTGTCACGATAATTCGTGCAACGTTGCTTGCATCCTTTGCACTTGTACAGTGGTAGCACAAGAGCATCCTTCAGCTCAGGAGGCACCTCCTCCTCAATCCACACGTGTTGCACCAACTGTTGCAACACATACACCAACGCGGGTCGGCCGTGTTACAATACCTCAGCAGGGATATCCTCGGCCCCAGCACACTTGTCGTTTCACAGCTGTACAAGTGTTCTCTGCATCTCATCCACTATCGGCGTGTGAGTCAGACGGACCTTCACCTCGTGCTGCTTCAGGTCGTTAAAAGTAGGCCAGTCAATCTCTGAACGGTTGTTCAAGAGACAGTCAAAGTGAGTTCGCCAGATTTTCATTATGCCTACAGTCTGTGTGCAGGCAGTGCCTAAACTAACATCTATCAGCGTCTTCAGCAGCTCCAACTTCGGTCTATACACCGCCTAAAATGAGTCAAGGACTTCCTTGTGTTGGCGGCTTTCGGTGTAGCATTCCATCTGCTTAACCTTCTCCGTCCACCATGTAATTTTAGTGCGACGGGGTTGTCGAGTCAGTCGCCGTCGGATTTTACGAGTCTGACTCGACTTCCCCAACTTACTGGGGTCTACCATATGTGCAGCAAATGCTGCATTCTTCTCAGACATCAATGCGACAATCGTCGCCTTGCTCTCATCTAACCAGTCAGGCCGCTTACAGTTTGCGTGCCCGATGGTCTCCTCGGCAGCAGCTGTCATCTCGTCGCGTATGTGGTGTCACCGGTCGCCCACTGTGGCTATGCATTCCACATCACACAGGCGTGCAGCCATCACCTTCGCCAGATCAATACGTCTCACCACAGTACCGAGGGAGAGAATGTTAAATTTAGACCGATTCACGGCGGGAGTGCAATACATAGATTTACGAAAATATATGTACAGTTTGGTCCACACCTACTGGTGATCAGTGCCACACTCAGCTCCACGCAGCACACTAGTCATGCGCACTTCACGCGTATCACGCTGACGCACGATGCCATAGTCGAGCAGCTGAACGCGACCACTCCGTGAGTGCGTCCAATTTGCTATATCACTAGCATTCAGTGCAAACCGAGTGTTCGTGATCGTCAGGCCATGAATGGCACACAGTTAGAGCAGCCGGTCACTGTTCCCATTCGCTGAACAATTGGCATGCGGACCGATGACCACAGA